TGCTGAACACGTGCGATTAAGAGCCTAAAGCAGAGGCCAGTCTGTGTTGTAAGGTCATCAACCTAGAATACAATTATAAAATGTTTTCCAAACTACTCCCTTTTTAAAGATGAACAGAAGCCCTCATACCTTATGGACACTTCTAAAAATTTTAATGTTAGTATTAATAAAATAATGTAAGATTAATCTATTATTATTAGTAATATAGCTGTACTGCTGTGAGAATTTTGTTTTACAAAAATAGATGTGTATAAAACTGGAAGTCAGCTTATGTTTGTTTCCAAAAGATATCTCTCACATATAACTCTCTTACCCGAAGCTCTGTTATTAGCATTTCCTTGATTTTCTGATGACACTGAGTGGCATTTAAAGGTCAGCAAGGAAGAGACTGCAGCTTGCCTGTGAGAGTGATTTGACTTCCTTTTTCCCCATCCTCACCGGTCAATAAAAATTTTTCAAAATGTCAAGTTCTTTTCTTGTGAGGTTGCTGCAGCCAGGCCTTTCTTCCGCAGCTCTTTGCCAAAACTCACATATTTCAGTTCCCAGTCTTGTTATGCAATTTCCTTCTGAGAAGTTTTTAAATCAAAAGTAATCAATTGAGCTGTTTTTAAGCACTCAAAGTACCAGATGTATCGGCAAAAAGAGATTTTATTTTTTCCAAAACAGAAAAAATAAATAAGTATAAAAGTATCATAAAAGAAAGATTTTGTTTTTGTAAGCGTACCTTGGGTAAATATGAAAGGTAAGATTTAGAGCAGGTAGACAAATCCACCTACTCAGCAACAGCAAGAATATTTATGCCTGATGGAGATTTAAACTCTATTACTGCAAACTTTTACTGATTTGCTGAAAGCCGCCACAACTGATTACAATTTGCCACTGAAAACACCAGACAGGTTATATCAGACCTACTGCACAAATTAAAGTTGAAGGCTGCTTTCCTTGATGTGATACTGAAATTCCTTATACCAGCACTAAATTTGACAACACTGAAACTGCTTCAAAACCAAAGCATAATACTGCGGTCATAAGATTGCTTGGAGACATAGTTTAAAAAAAACACAAACAACAACCAACCAAAATTGTGACTACTCAGATTTTCCTTTCTAACCAGCCACACTGAATACAGTTTGTTTTTTGTACTTCCTGAAGCACTTGTGATTCTGCAGCTTATATACAGTCTGCAGTCAAATAAGAAAAAAGTTAACCTTTTCCTGTTCTCAAATGAAAAAAAATAAAAATTATACTTTGAAGTCTGTACAACTACAGTGCTATCTTATGCTTACGTATAATTCTATTTTAGTGCC